AAGCGGCGCCAGAAGCTCGAGCGGGACCTCGCGCGGGAGGCGGCGCTCTTCGTGACGCTGGGCGCGCACCCGAACATCGTCTCGCTCCGGCGCTTGATCGTCTCCGACGAGGAGCGACTCTGCGTGCTCATCGACCTGAGCGGCGAAAATTTAGAACACCTCATGCACGGCGGCCGGCGCGGCAAGTACGACGGCCCGCTCTACGAGGGGCTGGGCACCGCCGACGGCGACGACGGCGCGCCCGACGCCGCGGAGCGGCTCGCCAAGGGCCAGGCCCTGCTGGAGTCGGCGACGCTCCAGCTCTACTGCGGCCTCGACCACATGCACCGCCACGGCGTCATGCACCAGGACATCAAGCCCGCGAACGTCATGATCCGGCGCGACGGCCTGGTGCAGATCACGGACCTGGGGCTGTCGTCGCGGACGTTCTGGACGGACAGCGACCCCCACACGACCTACAAGGGGCGCACGCTCGCGGCCAAGTTCATGGGGGGGTCCCGGGCCTACATGTCGCCCGAGCAGCGCCGCATCTTCGACGCGAGCCGCCGGGGCCCGCCGAAGCCGCGGTCGCTGAGCCGCCGCCTCGACGCGAGCGGCACGGCCGCGCCCCCCGCGGGGTCGCTGATCACGCCGGCGACGAGCGATTTGTGGGCCGTGGCCGTCGTCGTCCTCGAGATGTTCGCCCAGTGCCAGCCGGACCAGTACTGGGGGCCCGTCGACGACGGCCGGCCGGGCGCGCTCGAGCGCGCCATGCTCGCGAACTGCGTCGGCCGCGAGGCCGGCGCGCACGCCTGGGCCGCGCCCCGGGTCGCCGCCTGGGCGCGCGGCGCCCTGAGCGAGCCCGTCGCGGCGGCCATATCGCGGGCCAAGCTCGACGGCGCGCGGCTGTGCTCCACGCGCGGCCGCGACTTCATGGCCGCGCTCGCGCAGCCCGACGCTGTGTGGAAACCAAATCGTAAAACCGACTTCAATGTGAGCGTATTCGAATGTTTTGACACAAGCTCTTTGGCTGGGCTTCGAGAACTCGACGAGAGCGATCGATCCGTCCAAAAATCAGCCGAATGGACTTCGATTTGACCGAGCTAGAGAATTCTCAAGTTTGGTCAGGACCACCCAAACCAGTGGTTGGTTTCCACACAGGCCCGACGGCCGGCCCTGCAAGCTCCTCGACGCGCTCAAGGTCGACACGGCCGTGACGCGCGGCGTCGCGCGCTTCGCCATGCCGTCGGTCGTCGCGGAGATGATCGCGTCTAGTTTGGCGGCTGCTGCTTCAGAACGCCCCCGGACCGCGTGCGACGCGCTGAAGCGCGTCGGCGCGCGGCTCCGGCCGCGCAAGTCGGAGCTGCGGGAGACGCGCGAGGTCCAGTCGATCCGCAACGCGCCGGGCGCCGCGTCGCTGCCCCGGGCCGCGCGGCGCCAGCCCGCGAGCCTCAGGGACCGCGAGGTCGCGTCGCTGCTCTCGGCGCTCGTGCGGCGGTCGACGAAGGACCGCGACGACGCCGCGCGGCTCGCGGCGGCGGCGGAGTGGTGCGGCATCTCCGGCGACGCGTCGCGGGACGCGGCGCTCGAGGCCTACTGCGCGGCGCTCCGCGAGGCGCGCTCGGACCACGCGCTCGACGTGTCGCTGCGGAACCGGGGCGTCTGGCGCGAGCCGACGCGGGCCGTCTTCGACGCGGCGCTGGCGGCGGCGACGGGCTCCGGCGGGTTCCGCACGCTCACGGCCATCGACTGCTCGCACTGCCGGTCGCTGCGCGTGGACACGCGGCGTTTGTTCGAGGCGCTCGCGCCCGCGCCGATCCGCGTCGTCGACCTCAACTACGCCCACGGCGTCGCGGGCCCGCTGCCCGACGCCATCGGCCGCCTGGCGAAGCTGGAAATCCTGACGCTGCGGGAGTGCACGTCCATCGTCGGGCCCGTGCCGGACGCGCTCGGCGCCTGCGCGCGGCTCCGCGTGCTCCGGCTCCGGGGCTGCACGGCGCTCACCGGCGCGCCGCCGCCCTGCCTCGCGCGGTTGGAGTTGTTGGAGCACCTGGACCTGGGCGCGTGCGCGCGCCTCGACGGGCCCCTGCCGACGCTCGCGCGGACCTGCGGCAAGCT